CCCCCCCCCCCCCCCCAGGGATGGCCAGCCCCCCCTTCCTTGGGGGTGGGGCTGGGGGGGGGGTCTCTTTGAGACCAGGACTCAGCTGTCGGTCATTCCACAATGACACTGTATGTGGCATCACCAAAACCCAGCAAACGTGACTCCCAAGTGGCCCAGATAACCCCGTGGGCGTTCCCCCTGGATTGTATGGCATTCTGAGGGAGTGGAGTTTGGGTTCCGAGGGAAGGTGGGCCCTGGGGAGACCGGGGGCCGTGTGGTACCTTCTGGAGCTCCTCCTCCGTGGTGCTCACCCGGGCCTTCCACACCTGTTCCTCCTCCTCCACGCTCTTCTGCAAGGCTTTGAGCATGGCCTCCTGTGGGGACGGCACTGAGCAAGGCCTGGAGGCCCCCCCCAAACACACCCGTGGCTCCCCCCAACCCCCCACAACCACCCGACTCAGAGCCCAGAGCGGCCGGCCGTGCGGGAGGACGGGGTACAGTTCCGGAGGGTCCCCGGCCGGTGTGTGAACAAGGTTGTCAGGACTCTCGTCTCCGGTGGGTTTGCGCCAGGTGGGCCTCAGAGGCCCAGGATGGGGAACCCAGGACTGGCCATTGCAGAGGGAGACTGAGCGAACGTGGCCCCCGGAGTCGCAGGAAAGCGGATTCAAGCTGAACGCTGTCCTATCCCTTCCCAGACTGTGCCCCAGACCTTCAACCTGAGCTCACCCCCTTCACCATTCAGCCAAAGAAACTGGGCCCAGAGAGGGGCAGTGACTCGCCCAAGGTCACAGAGCCCAGGCCTCACCGTCTCGGCCAGGATGCTGCGGTACTGGTCGCACTCGGCCTGAAGGCTGCTCTGCGTCTCCTCCGCCTCCCTCAGCTTGGCAGCCAGGTCCTGAGGGTGGAGGGCAGGACAGGGGCCTGCTGAGCCAAAACCCGATGGCCGGCTCCAGGCACCCTCCATCCCGCGGACAGGGCAGGGCGCGAGTGACAGCGGCCGCGCTCACCGAGGGCGCCGTGTTTGCTGGTGGCTGCTTCAGCAGCTCTGGGCCTTTCTCTTTGAGCTCCTGCAGCCACTCGGCGTAATTCTGCGACAAAAGCGTTCAAGGTTGGGCGGGACGTGTCCCCGCCCCCGCCCCTCCGCCCCGCACAGGGTCCCCCGAGAGCTGCCTCCCCTCCTACCTGGTGGGTGGGGGCAGAGAGGCCCGGGAGCAGGACCAGCAGGGCCTCCCTGGTCTGGGCCTCCGTCAGGCTGAGCTGCTTCTCGGACTCCTCCTGGGGGCGGGGCGGGGGGGGGTGCGTGAGGGAGGTCCGCCACGGAGCTTAGGGCAGCGCCCGGGGTTTCACCCCAGGAGCATGTCCTCAGCCCTTCAGGGGCGGGACAAGGATTGGAGGAGACCAATGGTGGCTCCGTGGGGCTGGCTGGGCGGGGGTGTGTCTAACCTTAGCAGTCAAGTTCCGGCCACCCCACCCCGGGCCTGGCCAACTTTAAACAAACTCAGCTCTAAGGAAGGGGGATGGCAGCACCCGCTACGGGACGTGAAGGTTCGCGGACACCTCCCAGCAGACACTCAGGCTCAGGTCTTCTTTCTGAGCGTGTGCATATGGGGGGCAGGGAGCACAGAGAAGAGGTGCGGCCACCAGGGTCAGGAGCCCCTGCAACCCTGGGGGCGGGAGGATCAGGGCTGCCACGTGCTGAGGGGATGAGGCAGGCCGGGGTCTCGGCTCTCCCAAAGCTCCTGGGCCCCCTGCTGCAGCCGTGCTGACCAGAGCCCCCTCCATCCTCCCTGATACTCCCACTCAACGCAAGAAAAAGGAGCCCAAGAAAGAGGGAAGGAGCCATAGCAAAGCCCAGAAGGACTGCACTGTCCCTGGGGACAGACAGCCCTGGGGGCAGGGGGGCGGTGCAGATTTCTGGCTGAAAGTCCCATCTGGTCACCCGTCCCCAGCAGGCTGAGCCTGCCGCCTGCCCCTCAGGGACCGAGGCCTGGAACGGCACTAGGAGCTCCCGGACTAGAGCCGGGAGTGAGGCTCTGTGTGGGATTTGGGGCCGGCGGCGGAGGGGGGCGCGGATGGATGGCTGGCAGATGGATGCCCAGCCTGACCACAGCACCACATGCCTGGACTTGAGTCTCAGAAGCCGACCCTTCTCGCTCACCCGCTGATCCGTGGCCTGCTGTGGGCCCCCGACCTCGTGACCACCATTCAGGTGCCCGGGTCATGGGAGTCCAAGCAAGGGCCGAGGACCCAGAGGCCAGCTCCCTGTCTTTATCTGGCCGTGTGACCACAAACAAGTCAGGTGACACCTCTGGTCACAGCTTCTGCATTTGCCACAGAAAGGCCAGACAGGCGCCCAGGTCACTTCTGGGGAGTCTAAGTGTAGCTCCACACGGCTCCCCAGCTCCGCCTGTCGGAGGCCTCATCTGACACACCCTCAGGCTTCCTAGGAGGCTTGTGAAAGTTGCTGCAAAGCTCATGATAACAGGACAGACATTAATTCTGCGTTGCGGGGGGTGGAGGGGGTGGAGGGAGAGGGAGGGCAGGCCTGGCCAAAGCCGGTGGTGAGGCCCCGCTTGCTCATGCTGCAGCTGCAGACCATGTCCCCGGCCAGGGCCTTGGACACTGACCCACCCGTGCTCTCCCGACCTGCGCCTGAGTGCTTGCTACTAAAGACTGTCCTTCCCCCAAAGCTCAATCAGGGAGCCCCTGGGCCAGGACCGCAGCAGGCCTGACAAAGCAGACAAACATCAGGGGAGCAGAATTAACACAAGCGAAGTCCATGAACAGACCCAGCCCGGGGCCCCCATGGCCTCCGAGGGCAAAAGGCCCAGCTGAGAAGGAGACAAGGGCTCACCGCTCCCCGCATGTCGGGGAGAAATGCGCAGCGGGAGGGCAGGAGGGCAGGCAGGAATATGCAGCGGCCGGGCCCTGGGTGGACTTCTGAGACGCCCTGAGGCTGGGGCTGCCCTGCATGCCCCCTGCATGTGGTCTGCTGAGCTGCTAGACAGAGGCGAGCCCGAGGCTGACGCTGACCTTGGCCTGGGTCAGGGACCGCAGCTTCTCCTCGCAGCCCCTCTCGGCCGAGGCCAGAGCCTCCATCGCCTTCCAGTTCTTCTCTCGGAGATCCTGGGAGGAGAGGGGAGACGGTCAACAGCCAGGCCGGTGTCCGCTGGGCGGGCGAGCCCTCTCCAACTCGTCTCTGGACCTCACAGGCCACCCCGGGCAGCACTGGCGCCAGGCTGCTCTCAGGTGGCCGGGGCACGCGGGCGCCTTTCAGGGAGAGTCATCTGCAGGCGGCGGGGATCTGCCGGCTCTTCAGTGGGAAGAGGGTCCGCCACCAAACGGCTGGCTCTGGCCCAGCGTGCGTGCGTGCGTGCATGCGTGCGTGTGTGTGTGTGTGTGTGTGTGTGTGTGTGTCGGGGGGGTCCGGGGGGACAGCCGGGTCGGGGGGCAGCCGAGGCTCCCATGCACCCACCGCAGAGGAGGCGCCCTACAGCCCCCTCCTCACGCCAGGTGACCACACGACCAAGGTGACCACGTGACCAGGCCGACCCAGTGGGAGTCAGGACCCCTGAGCCCCCCCACAGGGAGTAGCCGGACGGGACAAGGAGAGGCCCCGAGCCCCCGCCCCACGCACACGGCCGGCGGCCCCTCGACACTCACATTGTTCTTCACTTTCTGCTGCTCAACTGCCTCCTTGAGCTCCGTGGCCTCCTTCTCCAGACACCACACCTGCGACTCCAGCTCCATGAGGCTGAGGGGGGATGGCGGCGTCACTGCCGGGCTCCAAGGGCCCGCGGCCGCCATAGGCCCCTGTCTCGGGGCCCCGTCCTCTGCCCCGGAACACCCGTGGGGCCTGGGGCTGTGGTCAGTCCCCTCCCCAAGCCGGCACAGGCTTCAGGGGAGCCTCAGCAACCACCGTGGCCCCTCCTCTGAGGGCTGGAAGCCCAGAGGCCAGCGCTGTCCCACTTGGTGACACTGGCTGCGGGGACGGCAGCGGTCAGAGCTGCCACAACAGCCAGCGTGGGGACGCGCCCCGGACAGTCAGATTTCCAGGTGCTCTTTCTTCTGGTGAACTGAGCCTGGTCCCACTCTGTCCCGCAGCACGCGTCGGCTGGCCCTTCCCTGTGGCCACAGCTGCCCTCGAGACTGGGCTGGGCCTCCTCGGAGGACGCCGGGGCCGGAGGCTCGGGTGGCACCATGACCTGCACACCCATCAAGTGCATCCCTGCTCTTGGCGCTGGGACTGTCCTGTGTCCAAAACCTAACTCTGCTGAGACCCGAAGGCTCCCCCTCAGTCCTGCGCCCAGGCTCCAGGGAATCAGCCCGAGACGACCCCAGATGCGTGCAGCTGGCAGGCCGGGGGGGGG